GAAATCTTCAAAACAAAAAAAGCTACATACAGTGTATATGTACATGATCTGTTCAATTTTTTTTTTTTTGTAAATAGCAATGTTTGCAAAAATATGCCAATACATTGAAACTTAATCAACGATGAGTTTTTTTGTTTTTGTTTGTTTTGACTGTCCATAAGATTTCAAAGAGGTACTTTATCTATGTAATTTATATGGTAAACTGTTGTTGACAATGCTTGTAAAGAAAGTTAATATTTGCTTGTTGAATAAAAAAATGTTATAATAGCATGGTTCATAATGTATAAAAACCAACTTGAAAAAATAAAATTTGTACATTGTACATGAAATAATAAAATTTCATAATTCAATAACAGACTATTAAATAAAATAAATATTAACTAATATACAGAGCCAACTCTTAAACAAAATCAGCATATCAACAGCATTTTCAAGGAGGTATAACACAATTGTAACAATCATTACATTTAGTGGAAAAAGGAGACAAAATGTGCATAATTATAAATGTGGTATTTAACACCAATTCTTTGTTTTTAAAGTGTTAAATAATTTATAATTACTTTGTTTGATATAAAAATCACTGTTAAAAAAATCCCATGAGATTGAACATATTGTGCAAACAAATTATTTTCTCCTTGTTAATATACAAGCAACAGAATAATGTGACAAGCACATCATAACAATGAAGAATAAAGAACATTAACAATCAACAACGGTCCTAATTACCTTTCTTAAAACATAGATAACACAAAAACCAAGTATTTGTACATGATTTCATTCATTATTATATTTTGTCTCATGATATGTCATGCCTTAAACAAGAAACAAGTGTAAAAATAGCTTTAAACCATAGCATGCAACAAACCCTATCAGTTATCATTTGTACAACTCATTTAAATCACAAATAATGGATGCCCACAGACTGGTCTTTCTGCCTGATCTTTAGAAATTGTGTCCCCTCTGGATAAGCATCTCTCCGTAAGGTTCCCTCTGGTCAACATATACATTCCCTTTGGCACATAAGTCTAAGGGGAAAATTTAATAAATATATTATCTTAAACTGCCCCAAGTGAAAATTTTTTCAAACAAATCACTTGCAAATTGCCTACAAATTGCTTTAAAATCATTTTAAAGTGATTTGTTTCAGTGATTTGTGTACGATTCATCTAACAAATCATGCTTAAACCACTTTCTACTAAAATGACGACTATGATTTGCTTACAATTTGTTATGAAAGGGTGATTTGCTTGTGATTTCTTTCCCATTTCAGACAATTTCTGAGTGATTTGTTAAACTTAGAAAATTGTAACAGTGATTTCTTCATGATTTGTTGAACTTAGCCATTCTTCAAGGTGATTTGAAAATGATTTCTGGAACTTAGTCTTTCTTCAAAGTGATTTGAAGATGATTTGTTAACTTAGTCTTTCTTCTGAATGATTTGTAAATGATTTGTTGATCTCATGGTCCTTCTTCAGAGTGATTTGAGAATGATTTACTTCTTAACTTCCGCCTGGCTTGCTGATTGGTCAGTATTAGAAACTCTACCGCCAATTTTCATTAATCAGATTTGAATTAAATTGAAAGCTAGGAGCTAGATTGTGCTGTTCTAGATTCATACCTCTCTTCTTTTGCTGAAACTGATGTTTTTTCCATAACCATGCAGAATATAGTTTTAAGGTATGTTTTACTGTAACTATGCTATCATTTCCTCCTTATATTTAGTTAATATTCCATAAAATATGTTCACATGCAATTTATTGTTCTTCTATCAACAACAAAGTCGGTGGCAATTAATGTTTAAAACAAAATCTATGTAAAGCTATAAGCTTCAGCAAAGTACAGGCTTTTTCAAAGTGTCTAGACAAAGATTTATTTCAGATAACTAAAAGTCAACAATTAATGCTTATATGTCATGTTCTGAATTTGGAGCCAAGTACATGAAGTACATGTGTGTATATCTAAAGTACATGATGCCATCTTAATGATGACACAACCTAGTAAAAGTCTATATTTTAAAATACTCTTGCCAAAAGTTTTTTGTTAATATACAACAAATACTGGTATACATGCATGTGTGTTTATAATATTTGAGGGATGGTTACATGAGCATACAAGTGTACAAGTGTGTATCCACCTGGAGTGATTTGAAAGTGATTTGTTAAACTGAAGTGATTTGCTTGCAATTTATTAGGAGTGATTTGTTTGCAATTTATTCAGAGTGATTTGGTTGCGATTTGTTCAACAGAAGTGATTTCTACATGATTTGTTCAAAGTGATTTCGTTATGATTTCAGGGTGATTTGCTTACAATTTGTTAGGAGTGATTTGTTAGCTCATTTGCATGGGAATTTGCATCACTTACAAATCATCTTCAAATCACTGATTCATAAGTGATTTCTTAAAGTGATTTGTTTGAGGATTTTTTTCACTTGGGGCATTGCTTTAAATATGAACATTTTAAATGGAATAATAACTTTTAAAAAACAAGCATGTACATGTATATTATATATGTATGCTCATAGACAGGCCTTCTATTTTCAACTTTAAAGACATACAACTCCAGAATATGAATTCACAAGAGATACAGGGTATTGTAAACAAGTTTGAATAAGACTGAATTCAAGCCAGATCAGTGTCCAAATCACGAAGTATGAGAAAAACAATACATGTATTTTGTAGATTGATACTAACGAAGCAAGGCGTTGAACATGGAGGCTGCCAGTCTTCTGTCATAAAAGTGTGGTGGGCAAACTTCCTCAAATGTTGTGTAGTCCTTCTCACTTGTGTTTGAGTTGATTAACCTGAAATTAAAAGAGAAAATATTTGATTACGAATGTCAATCCTAAAGAATGCCCATAAACTATGGGGACAACAAGAAAAAAAAAGAAAAAGCAAAATCTTATTTTAATAAATAATTTGTTTGTTTATATATACCTGAGAACTCTACTTTCTACTTGTGAGAGTTTGGAGATGACAGGTAAAGGTGTGTCCACCATAGGTATCTCGGACTCCTCCTGCACCACCGACAGATTTCGACTGATCCTGGAGAACGTGTCAGACACGGAGTGTTCTGAGGGGGGGACCAGAAGCTCCTCCTCAATAGATCCCCGAGATCGACTCCGCTTTTTTCGACTAGAAAAAGGTTAAATAGAATAGTTGCCATTTAGATTTATCAAACATAAAACTGCTTACAGCAAGAAATTTATTTAAAACAATCAATTCCTCAAATAATATATATTTTTATCCATAATACAAAACATAATAACAAGGGACTTTTTAACGCGCAAGAAAAATAACATCATATTTCTAAGTACTACGTCATCAGTTTCAGAGAGTGGTGATATGGATTCAGAAAACCACAGTGTGGTGATCCGGAGTCGGATCACGACATCACATGATTGCATAAAATCAACTACAGTAAAATTGAGTGATACACATTAGGTATATAATAAATTTTATATCAAATTTCATACCAATATGTGCAACCTTGGTGAAGAAAATGGAAACTGATGATGGACTGACAGTAAGACAGCAGCAAAGCAATATGTCCTCCCAGGGGTAGACAAATGCAATTTTGCAGTACTTGCCCTCGGACAGGTTACTATCGTAAAACTACCTGTCCTACCAAAAAATATGCTTGTCCCACCTTTTTCTTAAATAACATAGAATTGAAGTATTGATATTGAATTATTTCTTGAGTGAGACACCTAAACAATACACTAAGACCAACACAGATCTATAAAATCACGAATAAACCAATATACAAACAACACGAGCCAAGTCTGTGAACAGAACACTACTGCGTGTGATTGATAGATCGACACCACGGGTGTGTGATTGCCAGGGAACAGCAATCAACAACAATATTAATACCACTAACATCTGTATTCACAGTATGAATTTAATATTTTGACAATAAATGTCTAAATTACCATACAACATTTTTGACAACATCGATAACTCCATGTTTTAAGAAATCTGCATATTTTAGCAATATGTTAATTGGTAAAATCTAGAGGAGTTCCGACTATTTAATGTACGCATATGCAGCGATGCAGTGGTCAACAGCAGTGAAATCAAGTGCTTTACTGTGATTCATGATACTTTTAAAGCGATAACGCAAAAGGTATTTGAGTATATCAGACATGATTTTATTTGGTTAATTGGAAAATCACTTGTCCGCGGGCAGGCACCTGTTATCAAATTACTTTCCCACCAACCAAAACTGGTTGTCCCGGGCGTCGGGCAGTGCTATTTGTCTAGCCCTGCCTCCCTTCTTTGATTGATTGATTGTATACTGTTTAACGTCTCTCTCCAGAATATTTCACTGATATGGAGACGTTACCATTGCCGGTGAAGGGCTGCAAATTTAGGCCTATGCTTGGCACTTACGGCCGTTGAGCAGGGAGGGGTCTTTATCGTGCCACACCTGCTGTGACACGGGGCCTCCGTTTATACGGTCTCATTTGAAGGACCGCCCCATTTAGTCGCCTTTTACGACAAGAAAGGGGGTACTGAGGACCTATTCTAACCCGGATCCCCACGGGAATCCCTTCTTTGAAGGGGGGCATAAAAATATTTCTTGAAAATATCAATGTGCTTAAATGAAGATCATTATAAACACTTCAAGAGCTTGGCTGTAAAATAAGAACAATTAACGAATCCCCTCCCCCTTCCTTTAATTTAACTGATACTTTACCTGGCAGTAGACCTATCAGACAGGGAGTCATCTTTACTTCTGGCAGACAGGTGGAGCTGGATAGGGGTGGTGTCCTGAAGACTCCTCTCCAGTGATATCGAGGCGTCGCGGGGGATCTCCATAGATGGCATTTCATTCTATCAAAGATGCAAATTAATCAATTAACAAATGTTTAAGTTAAATATCTGCAAAAATGTGTAGTTAGATACACCGATTCTTTCATTGCTTGCTCATCTCCAACCAAAAACAACTCTTATTTGATCAACTTATACTGACAGATTTTCCAATTACATGTAATTATATAGTAAAAGAATATTTTCAACTGTTATGAAAAATTATATAAAAATTTTGACCTTTTTCTTGAAATCACACAACTTGTGCTTAAGATTCATTGTGTCACTATTTATATGGATATTTTTTTACTTACTCCCATACTAATATCCGCCCTGACTTTTTCAGGAGAGGCTCTGTCTAGCTGTATGGGGATTTCTGGTTGTGGGAGCTGTATTTCTGACATCTGTACGTCTGAAATCTCAGGCTGAACAGCTCGTCTTTCCTCTTCTGGTTCTGGCAGGAGAGCTCGTCTAGATCTTTTACTACGGGTAGATTCATCTCCTAAACATATTTTAAAAGCCTTAAAATTCCCAGGATGGACACTATGGTGGGATGGACTGAGGAACATGGGCAACTAACTCTTGTCACATTTAACTGGCAGCATGGGCAAGGGAGCACAACTAATAAGGATGGGTATCACTAAAAATTTCGTATCGCAATATATCACGAATTTTCCCAAAATATCACGATAATATCATATTTTTACAAGCAATTTTACCAATGATTTTAAATGAACAATCATTATTTTTCTTTAAAATATGCTAGAAAAACAAAATTTGACTTTTCTGAAATTTTTATGTTAATAAAATTCATCATGTTTAGGTGATAAGATGCCATTCTTTTCACATTTTACAACTTTTTTATAGACTCTCTGTAATTGTAATTTGAAAGATTGAACAAATAAATAAATAATTTCTGGACTTTATAATATGTACCTAAATACAGGTATTAAGGTCTCTGTAACACGATACATATCACAAAACAAATCAAAGTACTCAGAAGTACAGAGAGCCGGGCTCACTTACAGAGTAGAATGGATTTCCTACATGAATCACGTTTACATTCTGATGAAAAAATTATCTTAAAACTATTAATATAAATGATAAGACACTGACAGTGAGTTTTTCAATCCTAATACCACGGTCCGATTTTGTCAGAATCAGAATTAATCTGGTACCGCAGCTGAATGTAAACAAACAGGCCAGTCTGGTTCCCTCTCCTGCTTCACCTCGTATGTGTAGAGAACTACGGTAAAACCGATTATCCTTACGCTGATGAACTTTGATGTTCTTTGAGTTACGAAGTTTTCAAAGTCATTACTATATTGTTTATTTTATATACTAGATAAAACTTCGTTTTATTTTTGTTGATTTAGCGTTTGTATTATCTCAAAAGCGGTTGAGAGTAAGAACTATATTTTTGCACGTAACTTTAAAATGGCGACTATGGGGTCAACATCCTGCCTTAAACAGGATCACATAAGCCGGCAATTGCTCTTTGAGCAATAAGCCCGGCTAAAAATCGCAATAAACCGGTATACCGATAAATTCTCACATCCCTTACAACTAATTTACTTAATGATGATGTTAACATTGTATTTTATCAATATACAATTTACATATCATATCACAAGTTACATATCATTATCATTTAACGAGGCTGGGGGGTTGTGGCCATTTTTAGACTCTATTGATCTCCTTTAGAAGAGGAGCTCCATATGAATTTTAAAACTAAAGTTTTTGAAATTTTTCTTTGCCAATTGACAGTTGACAGCTTAAGATATCATATCTAAAAAATTAAGTTAAATATGCTGGTTAATTTGTGGTTAATTTGTTGACCCCCCAGCCTCCTTAAGACTAAACACATATTCTTATTCAGGCTTTCTTTATTTTAAAAGATCTAACTCAGACTCACTAGAAATACTAGGCACAGTCCAGAAAGGCGTCTCAACATCAGACTCAGTCTCCAACACCCCTGGTCTGAGATTTCGTCGCCATAAATCGATAAGGGGAGACAATCTAAGGCATTTGCTCCCCGGCTGATTGAAAAGAGTGGCACAGTCTGATCGTCCAATGACAGGGACACTCTGGGATAAGAAAAGGGTTTTAAAATAATGTCAGTTCAACAATAGTTATCCTCTAAAAAACTCATATTTCTTTATAACCTGTACCAAAGAGAATGCAATGGATTGCAGTCAAATTAAGGACTCTTGTAAAAAAAAAAAAAAAAGTCAATTTTACTCAACTTTAAGTTAAAAGCTGCAAAAGGTAGACATTTAATGATATCAGAATTACACTTACGTCAACACATCTAAAGTTTACCTACTCTTTGTCTCTCCACGTTACAGAGTTGTGGTAAAAACAGAATGACAGACTAAAAACTTACAAATGGTTTAGACAGCTCACTGCCTGTCTGGAGGTTTTTCTTCATCTCTGTCTTGGGAACCATTATGTTTTCATCCACAATTAAGTGACGACGCCTTCTTTTCACCGTCCTAGGACTCGGAGGCAAGGGAGCTAACTCTAGTGACAAGTCCATCCGCCTCTGCATAAAAAGAGATTAAATGAAGCATTAAGTTTTAATTATTGAATTTTTTCTTCAAGTTTGAGCGAAAAATCTCCAGCAATCTTTGCATTGTTGTTAGAAGATACTTCCATTAGGGCATTTTCCTAATGAAATGCCCTTCCCCAGTAACTCTTCTACAATATCCCAACACAGTTCAAAAGTTAACTATGCATGAAAAGCAAGAACTAATTTTACTTTTCTTGTACTCCTATGAGGTTCCTCCTCAGGTGGGGGCATTAGGGTGACCTCTGGCTGTGACCTAGGTCGAAGTTCACGGACAGCTGGTGGGGCCTCTGGGAGGGGTTCCTCTGTCAGTACTCGGGGGGTCTTTTCTTTGGGTGACATAATCTGTTCTTCAAGTTCTTTTGCATCCTTGGTTGTCTTTTGAGGAGAGAGACTGATAAATGCTTCTGATGCCTTTACAGAGCTAGAAAATATCAAGCCTAATGACATTTTATGTGAAACAAAAATGTAATGGCCAGTCGTAAATAATCATATTGCGGATTTTTTGTGGAACCATTTGCAGACTAGGAGTACAATGATGTTGCGGAATATTTTTTCTCAAGTTTTGCAAAGACTTCCTATTAATGCAAGGGTTTAAACCTAAAATGAAAATATTAGCAAAATTAGCCTGGTGTGATTTGTCAGGTGATAAACTGTTAATTACCTCTCTCCCACAGGAATAGCAACATCAGGCTGAAGTGATGTGTCAACATGATGGAGAGTGTCCATTCTAGCTGACTCATTCAGCAGGGCTTGTATGTTCTGCTCATCAAGAGGAGGCAACTCTGTCTGCTCAGCTATCTGAATTAAAACTCAAGTTATTTCATCAACTTTTCTAGAGCTATGATTTTAGAATTTTATTTTTTTTATCTTGTTAACCTTAATAATCTTGATTCTTAAAATACATGTATTTCCAAAGTTAATTCTCTATGCCATAGTGTTCAAAATAAAGTTTTAATGTATAATATTATTAAAGCATTCGAAAGATAATTTATTTTGTTAAATTAATTTTACAAGATTACCAATACTGAAATTGGGAAAAATAAAAAACTTTCAAAACCTTTAGGTAAAAATTATGCCAATCTTTAATTCTAATATGGTATCTATTTTAATACAGCAAAACTCGGTTAGTACGAACACGGATATTGCGAATTTACGGATATAGCGAAGTCATCTTGGATCCCCAGCTATACAAATTTTATGAATTTCTTATACGGTTATAACGAATTACGGATATAGCGTAGTAATTTCATAGGTCCTAATGACTTCATTATAACCGAGTTTTGCTGTAACTCTCTTGTATCTGAACCCATCTAACCTTCTCCCATTCAGTCCAATGTACTTACCTGTGGAAGAATAGGCATATCGATCTCTTTCAGAGTAATCTGGTCCAAGCTTGACACAGTGTGAGGAGAACCTAAAGCTATAAAGGACCATTTCTATTAGCTTTCTTCTCTCTGCATGAATTCTCATGCATTTATTTTAATATAATGGATATAAATACTTACTGAAGCATACCGCAACTTTTGCATCTTTGCATTCTTTTCCAGATTTTTTCCTTTTATACTTTCCAATTTAAAATTTGTTCAAATAAGTAATATCAAAATTTTATCTGAAATATCACTGCTGTATTCAAAGGACTCCATTCACTTGACAATTTTTTGGGGAGTTAAATCTTTTAAAGTTTTCTCCCTGATTGGTTACTCACCTGATTTTAGGAAGCTGTGTTCTGACTCGACTTGAATTGAGGATGAAGCTTCCGAACCTCTGCGACGTCGCAGGCGTTCCATACTGGAGTCGCTACCAGGAGAGGATAACTCTGTCAGTAATTTCTGCACATATTCAAAGTCCTGAGAGGATCCATCAAAATAATCATAAGATTGTCATACTTGAGAATTTATACCTCAGTTGTTGAGTTTTAAATCAATATTTTTGTGTATATAAATAAAATGAAAATTATTTAATAATTCACTATGAAATAAACCTCTGTTTATTATATGAAAAAACTAAAATAATCTATGGAAAAAGAAAAGAAATAATAATCTTACCAACAAAATTGGTTGACGTTAAATTAAAAGAAACTGAAATGAAAGAAACAAAACATAAATTCTTACCCATGCAAACTTAACATAAGAAAAATAAAGGAAAAAAAAAATACAAATGAATACAAAATGTCAAGGGCCTTAATGGTCAACTGTTACCCTAAAAAACAGGCACTATTTATTTATATTTTACTACTTTTTAGTGATTTCAGATGTCATCAAAAACAATTTGGAGATTGTCATTAAGTTCACGTTTAGAAACAGATAGCTTTCAAACTCTCAACTTCTGTTTTCCTCAAAATGAAAGCTTCAAAAAAGATTTCCCGATCTCTTTATCATTTGTTTAATACTCAAAAAGTCATCATCGAAAGTTTTTTATTTCTGCACATGCAAGCATGTTTTGTCTGTTGTTTTCAAGTAAGTTACACTGGACACGTACAAGCTGTTATTATAATGTCAAGTTTATTCTGTCTCTTTCAAATGCACAACTGACGTTTTGAGAATTCTACAGTGAACCGTATGCACATGATTCTCAAGGCATGTGACATTTTCTTAATGTTACACGTTATCAAGTGTGGTGAACACTGAGGGTAAATTATGGTTTGTTAAATGCACCCAAACCAATCAGATTTTAGTATTTAAAGGTAAATAAAGTATAATATAGTTAAATACCTCATGAAAGTCTGCAATTTTGCCGAAGTATGGGTCATAGAAGGGTTGTTTTTCTGTTGTCAATTCTACTATGTCTTGCATTGTTACATGATCCGGTCTAAAATATATGAATATTGAATATAGTTAAATTTACTATTTTTAATACATGCATGTACATTGTACACTGTACTTTGAAAAATTCAGAGAAATGTGTCACAAGACAACACATCATGACATGATCATGGTCCTTTCTTTCATTTATTAACTTTTAAGGTTTAATTATTCTTGAAAACTATAAACTAAGCAATTACATGTACCTGCAAGCAATATTAAGATCAATATTTTCTGCTATATTTGCTGCTAGTCTCACTTTCACCATGAAAGATGTGATATCCTCTGCAAAATAAAAAGGAATAGCACTAATTCTAACAACATCATGTAAATTTTTACAATCGTTCCAAGAAATAACTAGTGCTAATTGTAACGGGGACCGTTACAGATGTTCCCCAAACGCTCCCCAACTCCCTTTTGGTGCCATATTCCCTGTAAGCTTCATTAAATAAGACAAACTCGATGCATTTGAGACTTTAACAGCGTTTACCCAGAACTGTACAAAGTTCATTCAAATTTTAGCATTGTACGCGTGCGCATGTGAATGCACACATGTGCGTAATGACCATATCATCTTGTCTACACAATCTATATATTTAAATATACCAAATATTAAAGTATTTAATCCAAACGTATTAAAAAGATACGCTTATTCAAGTGTTTTTTTTTTATTTTGCTCATTTCACATGCACGCACGTGCATACATGAGCATGGTGACCATATCTTCTTGTAGATCTATGTCCGTTATATCTATCTATGTTCTAAATCTCACCCCGTTTGGTTGAAAACCAAGGGAGTTATAGCTGTTAAAGTTTCAGCCAATCAGATTGCAGCGCACGTACATGCACGTGTATGCATGTGCATGGTGACCATATTTTCTTGTAGTAGTCCAGTATATCTATCTATGTTCCAAATCCCATCCTGTTTGATTGAAAATCAAGGGAGTTATAGCTATTTAAAGTTTAAGCCAATCAGATTGCAGCGCACGTGCATGCACGTGTTTTCATGATAATTGCTATATATCATGTTGTAGGATATACTAATGCATGGCTATTTTCAAAATTTCAAAGGATTTCGTCAAAAAACAAGAAAGATATTGAGAGTTTAGTTTCAGCCAATCAGAACAAAGCGCACGTGCATGCGCGTGAGATCTTGCTATTTTGACCATGTCATATTGTCTATGCTTCTAATATATCCTTATATTATAAGTTTCAAAGCATTTCATCAAAAATTTTAAAAGTTACGCCTATATCAATTAAATCGGTCATTTCACATGTTGCACGTGCACGCTCTTGCAAGCACGTGCGCGCAAAATGACCTTCGTTCTGCAAATCTACATAACATGTCTACTGACCCTAAAAACATTTCACCTTAGTCGGATGTATAGTTTACGAGATCATTCCCGGACAAAAAAGTACCCAGGAAGAAGAAGAAAAATAATAATAATAATAACTAGTGCTAATTGTAACGGGAACCGTTACAGATGTTCCCCAAACGCTCCCCAATTCCCTTCTCGTGCCAAATTCCCTGTAAGTTTCATTAAAGAAGGCAAAATCTATGCATAAAGACATTAACAACGTTTTCCCAAAAGTATACCAAGTATTTCAAATTTAAGCAATGCAGGCGTGTGCATGTGATTGCATGAGCGTAATGACGATATCATCTTGTCTACACTATTTTACTCATTTGCACGTGCACGCACGTGCATGATGACCATACCTTCTTGTAGGAGTCCATTATGTCTGTCTATGTTCTTAATGCCATCCTGTTTGGTTGAAAAACAAGGGAGTTATAGCCATTTAAAGTTTAAGCCAATCAGATTGCAGCGCACGTGCATGCGCGTATTTTCATGACAATTATTATGTATCATATTGTAGGTCATCTTAAAGTATGCTTATGTTTTAAATTTCAAAGCATTTTGTAAAAAAACAGAAAAGATATTGAGATTTTTGTTTCAGCCAATCAGAGCAAAGCGCACGTGCACGCACGTGCATGCATGTGAATGGTGACCATATCATCCTGTAGGAGTCCTTTATGTCTATCTATGTTCTAAATCCCATGCTGTTTGGTTGAAAACCAAGGGAGTTATACTCATTTAAAGTTTAAGCCAATCAGATTGCAGCGCACGTGCATGCGCGTGATTTCATGAAAAAATTTATGCATCATATTGTAGTGCATCCTAATGCATGTCTATGTTATAAATTTCAAAGCATTTCATCATAAAACAAAAAAGATATTAAGGTTTCTGTTTCAGCCAATCAGAGCAAAGCGCACGTGCATGCGCGTGAGTTCATGCAAATTTGACCATGTCATCTTATCTACACAACTTATATATCTTTATATAATGAGTTTCAAAACATTTTATCAAAAAATATAAAAGTTACAACCATATTAAATATATCAGTCATTTTACTCATTGCACGCGCCCGCACGTGCATGCGAATGCGCGCAAAATGACCTTCGTTCGGCACATCTACACAACATGCCTACTAACCCTAAAAAGGTTTTAACTTAGTTTGGTGAACAGTTTCTGAGAACACTTCCGGACAAAAAAGTACCGGAGAAGAAATAAGAAGAAAAAAGAATAATAATAATAATAATAATAATAATAATAATAATAAGAAACAGAGTAAAAACAATATGTTCCCCAACTTCGTTTGGGGAACATAATAATAACTAGAAAGTCTGCTATTGCAAGCAATAGCATATGTCGCCCCGTATTAGACAAGACTTTCATTTTTATCATCACTAAAACAAAAGTCCATAAGCTAAGTTTGAAAACCTTTGAGTTATATCAGTCCTTTCCATTGGAAACGGAAGACCTTAATTCGGTACATCCCTCTCATTATTTTTAGAATCGGTAGGAGAAGAAAGTAGTGCAGGAAAATTACAAGTTCCTCAATTTGCAGACTTGCATAAACGAAATCTGGCAGATGTACTGAACTGAGCCTCATACTTGTTAATTGGCAGTATCTTTCCTATCATAAAAGCTTGGGAAATGTAATTTATGAAGAAGATCAGCCGAATTATTTTGTGTATTGTAACGCCAGTGGGAACTCTGAAATTTCCCTCTTTCACTTTCATTTTAGAGGTTACATACCGAAAAACGAATCTGACATGCCACCATCAATTCGAGCATTTCTGCATTGCAGAGAGCTGATGTGTGTTATGAGATGATAAATCATGTGTGAACTTTCTCAGTTTAGTGGAATCATGAACATTTTCGGCGAGATGAATGTTTTGTATACAGTGGTGATCAAGGCTTTGCGAACCATCAGGAGCGGATCAAAGAATTTATGAATGAATAAAAACTATGGAAATGACGTACCAATTTTTTAATTTATACTTGCACTATCTAATGAAATGAATAATATACAAGTGATAGATATACAAGAAAACGCCAAATGATAATAAATGCAGCTGACAATCGTTATTTTTTTTTATATAGATAAAATAAAATATTTATAAATTCAAGAGACAAAACAGAAGGAGAATGAATGATGGCAAAATATCACATGACGGGAACTGAATTTTATGAATGAAGATTTTAAAAAGTTACTTGTAAGTTGTATATGTTATATCTGTGTATTCTACTTGGCTGTGTGCTTCAAAAAAAGGGGGGGGGGGGTCGTCTTGAACATAGTAAATAGCCATAACGTTTGAACGGTAAGTACTAGGGCTTTCGTATTTCAAATATGTAATCCTTGTGAAAAGAACTTTTATTGGATACGACGAACTTTGACCCTTTGACCTAGACCTTGGAGAACACATGTGTACATCTGAATCTTTTTTTCTGTTTCGTTTCTATGGCAACTGTGAGCGACTCATTACAATTATTTTGAAAGTAGAAATCACTTTGACACATTGCAAGGAATAAACATTGAAAGTTTCAAAACGATTGCCTGAGTAGTTATTGAGAAAATCGAAATTAAAGAATTTTTACTTTCACCTGGTTTCCATGGCAATAATCGATTATATGAAAATTTTAAATACGAGTTGCAGAACTACAGATACTAATCCTTAAAATAAGAAAAGTTTCATGACGAACGTTTAAGGGACCAGAGAGAACACTCTCGGACAAAATTTGTCGCTTTTTACAGGTTTCCATGGCAACGGTAGACATATTGGAACTGAACGACCTCACTGCACAACTACAACCAGTGATCGTCCTTTGAGGAAAGTTTCAGGAAGATTGTCCCAGCCATCTCCGAGAAACAGCCTGGATAAAAAAAACATGCGTACAATATCAATATGTCGTCCCCGACTTCGTTCGGGGCGACATAATAACTCCTGAATTTTTCTCATCAATAACTCCTGAATTTTCCCCTTCAATTCGAGCATTTCTGCATTGCAGAGAGCTGATGTGTGTTATGAGATGATAAATCATGTGTGAACTTTCTCAGTTTAGTGGAATCATGAACATTTTCGGCGAGATGAATGTTTTGTATACAGTGGTGATCAAGGCTTTGCGAACCATCAGGAGCGGATCAAAGAATTTATGAATGAATAAAAACTATGGAAATGACGTACCAATTTTTTAATTTATACTTGCACTATCTAATGAAATGAATAATATACAAGTGATAGATATACAAGAAAACGCCAAATGATAATAAATGCAGCTGACAATCGTTATTTTTTTTTATATAGATAAAATAAAATATTTATAAATTCAAGAGACAAAACAGAAGGAGAATGAATGATGGCAAAATATCACATGACGGGAACTGAATTTTATGAATGAAGATTTTAAAAAGTTACTTGTAAGTTGTATATGTTATATCTGTGTATTCTACTTGGCTGTGTGCTTCAAAAAAAGGGGGGGGGTCGTCTTGAACATAGTAAATAGCCATAACGTTTGAACGGTAAGTACTAGGGCTTTCGTATTTCAAATATGTAATCCTTGTGAAAAGAACTTTTATTGGATACGACGAACTTTGACCCTTTGACCTAGACCTTGGAGAACACATGTGTACATCTGAATCTTTTTTTCTGTTTCGTTTCTATGGCAACTGTGAGCGACTCATTACAATTATTTTGAAAGTAGAAATCACTTTGACACATTGCAAGGAATAAACATTGAAAGTTTCAAAACGATTGCCTGAGTAGTTATTGAGAAAATCGAAATTAAAGAATTTTTACTTTCACCTGGTTTCCATGGCAATAATCGATTATATGAAAATTTTAAATACGAGTTGCAGAACTACAGATACTAATCCTTAAAATAAGAAAAGTTTCATGACGAACGTTTAAGGGACCAGAGAGAACACTCTCGGACAAAATTT